TTTTTTTTTGAAATTTAAAACTCATAAATTAATTGTGATAAAATTTTCATTGTTAAATGAATTATATTAGAAATCGGAAATATCACCGGATTTTACGATTAGTTCACGACGAATGGAAGTGAAATGTGAACTTCAAAGTCCTGATGAATGTAATCAAACGGTTGTAATTTTTGATCGTAAAGGTAATGTGGCAGATTTCATACGTGAAATACGTCGAGCATTCAAAATTTTACCACTTGATAAGGTTATTTTGTTTAAATTTTATTAAATTTTAGTAATTTTTATTTAAAAAAAAAGAAATTGACAGAATTACAAGTGCTATTATTATTATGGTACATCTGTCTGTTGTTAACATATTTTAATTTTTTTTGTAATCAATTATGTTAATTTATCAAATTTTCAATTTGTTTAATTGATTAATGAATTATTTTTATTCTATTATTCTTTCATTTTTTATTCTATTAATGAATTATTTTTATTTTTTTATTAAATTATTTTTATTTTAACCTATTGATTCATTTTATTACTTCAGCTACTAATAATAAATTTTGAACGAAATTTTATTCATTAAACTTTTTTTTGGTGTTAGAAAAAAAAAATGAAAATTTTATGAAATTTAATTTTGATTTTAATTTAATTTGTGCAAGCATACATACATGCATTATAAAATTAATTGCATTATTTTTAGTTAGAATTTTATTTAAATTAAAAATAAAAAAAAAGAGCAAAATCTTGCAATTACTAGTTTTTTTTCCTTTGTTTATTTCTTTAGTGAATGTATTTTAAATTGTTAAAATTTATTTTTATAAAAATTGAAAAAAAATTGAAAAGAAATTACGTTAATTATTAATTATCTAATTATCAATTAGGTTTATGGATATTACATTCATCGTGAGGATGATAAATGTACGGAGAAAACGGATGATCGAAAATTGGACGAAGAATTAGTAGTAGATGCGAAATCAGTGAATCGTCCAATTAGTGAATTAAATTTAACACCTGATACTATTGTAATTGTTGATACAAGTGGTATTGTACAAATGAAAACATTATAAAATTAAAATTAAGATTGTATTCCAATTTGATTATTTGATTTTAGATATATATATATATAATTGTTTAATATAGCAATTTTTATAATTTTTATATTTTTATAAATTTTTATAAATTTATTTTATAAATTTTAATTTTTTTTATTTAAATTTTTTAATTTATAAATTTTAATTTTTATTT